CAGAAAATCCTTCTGTGATGGAGACTCCACACCCATGTCAACCCACTCTGCTCATTCAGTATCTGCCCCTTGTCTAACCTCAATCTTTCTTCCTGCCATTTCAGCCCGTGACACTTTGTCTCAGCCCCACAGACATGGGGAACTGGTTATTCCCATCTCTCTGCAGCAACCTTTTACATTGCTGCAGGCTTCTCCCTCATCTCCCTGCTGCCTCTGAGGCTGCGTCCCTGCTTTCCCTCTGCACTGGGCATCTCAGCTGCTCTGACCCCAACACAACCTGCTTGAGTTTTGCTCTCACTGCAGCCAGCTGTGATGCAACTTTCAATTTCCAACCTGAGGTTGTTAGTTTTCCCGTTAAAGCTTGTTTACTCTGAAGACCACGAGAACTTCTCAGCCAGAGGAAGCTAAAGGTCCCTCTGACCTGCCGTCCTGCCTTGAACAGCAGCCAGTAATGGGCATTTAGGAAAGTTATTTACAATTAATCCTTCCCCTGGCACATCTCCCAGCTTCTAGCACTCAGTTTAGAGGCTTCCTGAATAGGAGGCTGCATCCTGGCCATCATGTTTAATAGAAATCGATGAACTTCTCATCCATGAATTTGTCTAATACCTTTTTGAATCTAATTATACTTTTGGCCCCCACGACATCCAGTGGCAATGAGTTCCACAATTTAATTATGAGCTCTTTGAAAAAGTACTTTTTTATTTCTTTAAATCTACCAACTGATATTTTCATGGGGTGTTGTCATCCACCTTGTTCATATAAAGTGAGAAAAGATGAATAACTGAATGATTATCCCATCTTCTCCCCCTTTTTTACTGTATTATAGCCCTTTCTGATATTGTTTTATTGTCTCTCTTCAAGGCTGAAGAGTCTTAGTATATTAATCTCCTCTTCTGAGAGCTACTCCACACCTCCGAACATGCTTAGTCTAGGAAGCTGGTTAGCGTCAATAGTTCTTCTTCCTTGCCTTTTTTTTTTTTGTTTTTTGTTTTTTTTTCCCCTGTGATATACCTAGAGATTACAAACTTATGCCAGTACCAGCAGGATAAGTGTCACTAAGTCACAGTGTATTCAGCCACAAGCCTGGCCTTGAGGTGTAAAAACCAGCCAGGAGTAGACAGCCATCTCACATCTGCGCTTGTAAGTTAAATGCGCCCAGGACGGTTCTTTGGCATTGAGGTCAGCCAGCATCAGGTGGTCTGAGATCAAGCTGGCAAACCCTTTAGCCTCTGAAATGATGTGGCCATGTGCAAACTGCCCACGCAGACTCCTGAACTCCTGCCTGGGAATTGCTGAAGCCCTTGTTGGTTAGTGCAGCACCATGCCAGGGAGAAGACAATTTAACGGGATAAATTGCGGGCAGTGACCCAGCACTATCTGATTTACCATTTTAGTAGTATCACTTAGCTCCGATGACTATATTTACTACAGACTCCTCATATGAGACGGGGCATACCCTTTAGCTCCTCTGTGTCTTGGCTTACAGCCACAGAAATAGGGGTTGATAAGCAATTTCCATCTCAACAGCTGAGGTGGTAAAGATAAATTTATTATCATGAGACATCCAGATACAACAGGCTTCTGGGCCCTCTGAGAGGATATCTGCTAATGTGTCTGTGTTTGGCTTTGTAATATTTAGTTTGTTTTTATTGTGCAATATAAAATGATTTTAATTAAACACTTTACATATCACTATTTGTGGAGGGGATAGCTAACACCCTATCACCTCTGCTATTCCCTTGGAGAGATGCTGCAAGCACTCTTCTTGCAAAATTTATTATTACTTGCATCACAGATCCATTCTCACAATAAAAATTATGTGTATTGCCAGCATGCTGCAGCATTGCTAGCCATAAATCACAGGGAACTATAAACATGTCGCCCAATAAACCATCAAGAGAAAATCATGCCTGCTGGGAGAGCATCATAAATGGAAAAGATCATTTACTTCACATACTATTTTCACTCATACATTTCATACTGTTTACGCATGGAGAGCTTGGGCTCCGCTGAGGCTCCCGATTGGTTGTGTGACCGCAACAGGGTCAGTCTTCAGGGTGAGTTATAAATGCCACTCTCCCAACACGGGGATGCGGATGTAAGTTCTTCCTGTGCATTGTAACCGGATTGTGCTGCCTTGCAACGCACACGCAGGTCGTAAAACACCCAGCCCAGGCTGCTGATCTTGGTAAGTACCCTAGATAATTAGCAGCGTCTTCATCACAAGGGCACTGCGCTCACTGCGTAACTAATCATCCGGTGACTGTGGTTTAGGGGGCCTGGGTACCGACGTAAGCAGAGAGATGCATCTCTGAGGCACTGCTGGGGAGGTCCATGCCACACCATGGCACCAGCTGGGTTTGATTTGCTTGATAAAGCGGGGAGCTGTGATTGCAGCTTTGCAAGCGCGAGCTCTGCAGTGTGTCCTGCATATCGCCACCCCGGCCCCATAGGCACGGGGTAAACCGGCGAATGCCTCCAGGGGAAGGTTTTGCCATTGTAATGCCATGAATCGCTGCCATTTGATGTGCAAGCCCAAAGAGGAATCAGCTACTCTTCCACTATCGGGGAGCCCAGCTCAGCCGGGAGAATGGCATATTCTTATTCCTGCCTTTAAAGTCAACAGAAACCAAGCTTTGTAGGTGCTGTCTTCCCAGAGGCACGTTTCTAATCCTTCTTCTTTAGCTACATGGCTCATCCCTGCTAGAGTTGACAGCAAAGCAGCTGTGAAAACAACAGTCTCCTCTTGGGAAAAAACTGATGTTTTTGTCTCATCCTCCCCCACCTCATCTCTCAGGCCCCTACATTTGCCTGTGCTCAGTAGATTCCCTTAAAGCACCAGCACTTTGCTAAGGCTACTGCATGAAAATCAAGGCTGTAGAAAGAAAAGAAACCAGAGCATAGCCTTTGAGGGCTGGAAAGGGAGGAAGGGAAGCACAGCCTGGCCATGTCCCCTTTGAGACATCTGCATTTTTGTCTGCCTGGGCTATCTAGAGTACCTCTTCTAGCATAGAAACTCCTTGGACAATAAGCAGTTGGGCTTTCTTTCTGCAGTAGGTTGCCTTTTTAGGCCAGCAGCAACGACTGTTCAGCTCCTGCTATTAATCTTTAAATTCATATCTACCTGCAACTGGAGGCTTGTTTCCTGATCAGGGCTTGGCTGCAGTGTGAGAAGTATGATTGCTGTCCCTCAGTAGTCCACTGGGAACTATAACCAGGAACTATACATACCAAAAGTCTTGGAGTGGGATCCCTTTCTGCAACAGCTATGAATGCATAGCAAACCAGAGTAGCTCTGAGGGGAGCAGAGCTAATAAAGCCCTTTTCTTATGACTTCACGTAGCGTGGTAGGAGTTGTTGCTGTCTGACGAGGCCTGAGCTTGGAGTGAACGTTTCCTTGCAGGAGGAGCACCCCAATAGACCCATTCTGTGTCGAATCCCAGTGAGTTCGTAGTCGATCCTTTCTTTCTGAGCCTGCACTAACAGAATCTCTCTTCCTTATCCACCTCCGTGTTTCTGGAAACCCATCAAATCTTAATATCTTTGAGATTCCTAGATATCTGCCAGATTTTGCAGTAAGGGAGCCTGTTAGACAGACATACACACATGCACGCACTTCAGGTTTTTAGGTACCCAGCCTGCAGACGAAACTGAATTGCACAAGGCAATAATCTGTATTTCTATGCTTTCTTTGGTATTGATTAATTCTCACTAATTAGATAATGTCTCATTGACAGAAAGGGAATAATTCTTACCTTAGGGGAGTGCAAAATGGCCAGATTAGGACCAAAAGTGCATCTGGACAGCTTCCTTTTGCCAACACTGACCTTGCCTGATGCCTATGGGGAAAGTGCTAGACGCCACCTGGTAAGCGGCTGCATCCTCTCGCCTGCTGTCTCATGCACTGATGAGGCCCTCCTGCAGGGGGGCTGCAACTTGCCCATCAGCAACTGACACCCCGGGGACTACGTGCGGGCAAAGGACTCCAGATGCTAACATGCAGCTTTGCCCTGAAGATAAAAGGTCCCTGTCTAGTGGTAAAGATTCTGGGATTCTTCCCCTGTTCCTATCCGATTCATGTTGCTTTTTACCCTGGAGAAGGAAGATGTTTGTCCCTTCTAAGCTTGAGTTTTATCACCATATTCACATGCAGGCTGAGAGTCTAATGGAATGAAATTCTGTTAGGGGTGTAATAAATACATCACGCAGGATAACTGTGTTTATACAAAAAATGAACAGCGTTAGAGTAAACCCTTCTTGCTTCTTCAGACTTTTGACCTGCTTGTTTTGTACCCTACAGAACGTCCACTAAGACTGAAATGTCAGGGTTTTTTTCTTTAATTAGTTCTTGTTTTGCACATCCATGGCTTTCTCCCCATCCACGCAGCCAGTCATTTAATCACAGAAGGCAGCCATCAGGCATGGTCTGCCTTTGCTAAACCTGTGCTGACTGTTCCTGATTGCCCTCTTGTCCTCTATGTATTTAAAGATAGACCAAAGAGGATGCATTCTGTGGTGTTTCCAGAGGGTGTGGTGAAGCTCTCCAGCCTGGAATCCCCTGGACTTTCACTGGGTCAGGGAGCAGGGTGGCTGCCCACCGGGGTTGGGGAGCAGAAGCTGAGGGTGGCAGCACGGCAAGCAGGGCAGCGTTCACATGGAGCAGGACAAGGGGACCTGAGCAGCTCTGCTGACAGCCACCCGGGCAAACCACAGTCCCGACTGCCATGCGTGGACTAGGTCTGAAGCCAGGCTGGGAGTTCACATCCACAGGTCTGGGATCGGGATGAGCAAGGTACAAGACTAGGCATAGGCAAATCTGCGGCATAGCTCAGAAAAAGCCTGAGAGCAAAGGAGAGTTTAAATGCAGCTCCTGAGCAAAGGAAGGAGGCCATGATGGGGCTTCTCAGTCACAAGTCTGCTCTGTGGTTGCACAGCTGTACTGTGCCAGTATTTGAC